TTCAACTTGTAATGAATTCCTTCCATACAGCACAATGTAAATAAACATTTTACACAATTATAGAATGATCATAATTCCACTGAAAGATTTTTTCTGAATATGTCAATTAACTATCCACAACAATAATTAAATGGCTGGCAGACTTGTTCTTTCCGAAACTCTCATGAGTACATGGAAGTTAACAATTCCTCATAAACCTATCTCAGTAACTATTACTTGCTGCCCTAAGCAGCAAGTTAACTTGGGGTTCTGTCCTCCATTGAAGCTTTGCAATGATAATCTGAAAGCCAGTTTCAATCCCTTGATTAAATGACAGCCTTACATATGTTGCCAAACATATATTGTATATCTACATCATATTATGGCAATTTTGATTTATTTGCTTAAAAGAGTTATTCCATCGACAACACCGTTATAAGAGCACACTTCCGATAGGATTGAAGAACGAGCATGTTCCAAAAAGGAATAATCATTCAAAGATCGTAGGAACCACTGTAACAAAAATATCTGCTCATCAATGTGATCATTTCCAAGGACTCGTTTTGATTTTTGACAGCCATTATACCAATTCAGTCGCAAACAATTTACATCAGCCGCCTGCAACGAACAGAATAATCATTTGTAGCTACTCAAAATCATTTTGAATCAATCGCCTTGAATTGAATAGCGAAGGGAACACAACAGCACAATGATCTAAACCTCTCAGAACGCATTGACTTATTCAGACACACTACCGAACCTAATTGCAGTGTTTTCCTTGTAACTGTTAATAATTCAGCCTTCATCTGCAATTGTGTGCATTTTGTTTTTCATTTCATAGGGGTTTGCATCGTTGAAAAAAAACCATCATTCGTTTGCAGTGCGGCCGTTTGTTTTATGCCGAGTTCATGCAAAATATAATCGTTCCATTCCAAGCGGGGTGCCTCCTTGACATTACAAATAAAATGCACACAGGACTACAACTGGACTTCAGAGATTGTTGATTTTGAAAAACGAAAACCCTTCTGTACTGCTTCGGGGCCTAAAGGTTTTATTAAGAACGACTTCACCGTACCAACTGAAGCTTCTCAAGCATTTCAAATGCTCACTTCACAAGGCATCGCAGAAGTCAAGGCATTGCAGTGAGCTTATTTCTCTCGAGGGTTAGTCCTTCGGCTCTTGATCTAACCCATCTAATTCCTATATATTAAAATCCCGCGTCATCAACCGCGACAAAACACAAAAAATAAGAGAAGGCACTTGAGAACTCGTCGTTCCTCTGGAATTGTTTAAATACATGGGGCGCGATTCTTCGCCTTGGGAACGTTTCTCTTCGGGATATATCTGTGGGGAGGGTAACACTGGGGAGTTTTCAGTCTACTTTTTAATTGGATGCTCAAATTCTCAGACCGCAGTGACCAAACTGCCAAACAAGTTAAAAATAGTGACCCCCACCCAAAAAAAAGGGATTCTGCAACCACCCGTCCCCCCACACACACAGACAGACAGCCAAGCGTTAATGAGAGGGCAGGTTTGGGCCCAGTCTAATAGACAGGTAGCTCATAGCCCTGGATTTCCCCTTGCGTCTGCTTGTCCTACCACCTGTTACTGTGAAGACTGCAGAGATCACACACGATCCTGTAACTTTCCTTTTTGTTAAAAAAAAGTGAAAAGACAGAAATAAATCATGTCACTTTTGAATGGTTGAATTTTTGTTTTGTCAAGAGGCCGAATAAATCAGCGAGCTGCAATGACGTGTGTTGTGTTTCTCGCACGATTCCGGTCAGAATTTGTGTCTGGCCTTAAAGGCGCCGCCTCAGTGCATCAACTTGACACGTGAACTCAGAAACATTTCCAACAAACTCATGTAGCATTTCTTTTTCCTCACACCATCAAATAACCCCCACAGCCATGCAAGATGGGCCACACTCTGCAATTAATCTATACCTCTCTCTCCCCTTTTTTATTTCCCCCTTCCCGCCCTCCCCTTTTTCTTTCCCTCCTTTCTGCTCCTCCTTTCATTCCCTTTTCTCCTTCCTGCTCTCTTTTCTTTCTGTCATTCCCACTCTACCCCTTTTCGTTCCTATCCCTCTTTCCCACTATCCCCTTTTCCCTTTCTCTTTCACACTCCTTTTTTTCCTTTTTCTCCTTCCTGCTTTCCTT